TCAAGTCCAGGTTTTATTTTTGGGAACAGAAACCGGAAGGTAAGGATCCCTGACCAGAACAGGCCTGAGTTTTTTCTGAGACTGTGTCATGTGCTCGGGCTCTGCCTGCCCTAACACATCTAACTTACGGGAGAGAACCCATGCTAGGCAAGCACACTCCCAACTGATCCAATTCCCCAGCTCAAGTTTTTCTAAACTGGGTGCTGGCGCACACCTCTAATCCCAGCACTCGGGAGGCAGAGGCAGGCAGATCTGAGTTCAAGGCCAGCCTGGTCTACAGAGAAACGCTCACGGGAAGTGGTGGAAACTGGGGAGTGCACTCTCCCACCTGTGTGGGTTCTGAGGACTTGGTCGCCAGGGTTGCATATCCAGCACTCACCAAGTCACTTGCTGCCCCAGAGTAGGGGTTTTGTATTGAGTCAGATTCTTACTAGGCAGCCCTGTGTCTGTCCTTCCTATTACTGTGGAGACACCGTGACCAAGGCAGCTTACAGAACTGAATTGGGTGCTTGTTTAGTTTCAGTCTGATCAAGGGAGGGCAGCAGACAGGCATGGTGCTGGAGTGGTAGCTGAAAACTCGCATCTGATCCACAAGCAGGGGCCAGAGACACGGCCTGGAGTGAAATCTTGAAACAAAGTCCACCCTCACTGACACACCAATAAGGTTACACCTCCTAGTCCTTTCCAAATAGTTCCACCAGCTAGGGACAATCATTCAAATATATGAGCCTAGTGTGGTTCGAATCACCACACCCTGGTTGGCCACAAAACATCTGCCTGCCCCTGCATCACCAGCACAGCATTATGGGTGTGCTGTCACTCCTGACGGGTTTTAATTGCATGTTTTGGGGATAGGGGTTGAAACAGGCTATGTAGTCCTGGCTGACCTGGAAACTCACTATGTAGACCAGACTGGTCTCAAATGTAGTGCCATCTTGCCTTGCCAGTGAGCTCGTGATAGTGGCCACATCCTTTGTGCGTGGTTTCAAGTGCAGATGTGACCCATTATAAGGAGGGGCTGGCTCTCCATCTTGGGTTGTAGAGCGTCGGAAGGGCAGAGACTGACTGCATCTGTCTGTGTGCCTCCCCGTCCTCTCCCAGCGAGCCAGCCCCTCCTCTACCTTATGATGGGTACAAAATCTGAAAACATGCCCAAAAGGTGTGGCCACCACAAGTTCACTGGCAAGATAAGATGTCACTACACTCAAACTCAGATGGCTGGGCGGTGGTGGCACTTGCCTTTAATCCCAGCACTCGGGAGGCAGAAGCAGGCGGATCTCTGGGAGTTCGAGACCAGCCTGGTCTACAAGATCGAGTTCCAAGACAGACTCCAAAGCCACAGAGAAACCCTGTCTCAAAAACCAAAAAAAAAAAAAAAAAAAAAAAAAACCTCACAGACATATGCCTGCCTCTGCCTCCCGAGTGCTGGGATTAAAGGTGTGCACCACCATGCCCAGCTGTTGCGTTGTATTTAGTGTGCCAACATGTGGCCCTCGGGTCCCCTGGTGCACATGTGCTCAGAGGAAAACTTTTGGAATTTCCTTCCACCGAATGCTCTTACTGGCTAAGTCACCTACGCTTGAGAATGTTTTTTGTGAACCAGTACTCTTGTTTTCACCATTGGAGAAGTGCCTTAGTTACTTTGGAGTTCTTAAAGAGGAACAACAAGCCCTTCATTGACCCCTTCCTGCCAGTTGTACCTAAGTGTAAACTGTTTATTGTTACAGAAACCTGTTTCCACTAACCAAACCAACTGAGCATAGAGGTGGAGGCTAGAGAGACAACTCAAGAGTTAAGACCTGGGTTTGCCGGCCAGCACCCACCTAATGGATTACAACTACCTGTAACTCTAGTAATCCCAGGAGTCTGGCACCCTCTTCTGGCCTCTCTGGGTACTGTACTTATGCATATACACAATGAGGGAAAACACTCATATACATCAAAACAAAACTGAGATAGGGTCTCATGCAGCCCAGACTGGCCCTGAACTTCTATCCCTCCTGCCCAAACCTCCTGGGTGCTAACGTGACAAGCAGCATGCGCTGCTACTGTGCCCTGAGCTTGCTGCTGATCCACACGGCTCCATGGTGGGGTGGGGTGGGAATGGTGACAGTCACTTGTAAGGGGTCAGGACACTCGGTCAGTCTCTCCAGTGCAGCTTTGAAAGGCCTGCTGTTTCCATTTCCTTTTGATTTGTGCATGTATGTGCCTATGAGTGCATGTGTGCAGGCCAGAGGAGGCCAACAGATGTTCTCTGGCGCTGGGCGGCGCACACCTTTAATCACAGCACTCAGGAGACAGATCAGGAACTGCTCGCTGGAGCCTGGTGGGCTCACCCTTGGGCACACAACTCAAGTTGATGACTGTCCCTTTCTAGAATCCACATCTGCCAGTAGTTTAGCAGGCAGGGTGTGGACCCGTGAGGTCCTGCTCATCCACACCTGACTGTTGACAGACCAATGCCATGCAGCTTCGCTGCAGAAGCTGCTGAGACATGTCTGCAACGTGTCCTGTCCGCAGGGCAGGCTTACACTTTCCTGCCCTCGTTTCAGTGGCGTACATGCTCACACTCAAGCATCACTTGTTCTAAGTATCCTGAGCAGCCCTGGGGCTGCAGCACCTCCCTCCACTGTCCAGGCCGCAGGCGTGTTTTTTTGAGACAGCATCTCACTTTGTAGCAAGTTCGATGTGGCCTTGACCTTGGAGTTGCTTGCTTCCTTGGCCTTCTGAGTGCTGGGATTATTGGAGTGAGCAATGGTGGTTGTTTTGAGACAGGCTTTGCTCTGTAGCTCAGGCTAACCTAGGGCTCCATTTGTGTAGGCCCAGGCCAGTCTCAAACCAGCAGTAATCCTACCCCAGACTCTTCCAGTGCTGAGGTTGTAGGTGTGAGTCAACATGTGTTTCTGTCCACTTCAAAGGATTTATCTAGTGTATGGTAGAGGGCTGATGTTTCTTAAGGTAAACACCTAGAAGCAGGTAGAAAACTACAAGATTTGAGAGATCCATTAAATCCCCTGTAGATGCTGCAGAATTATATTCTGTTTCTGAATTAGAGGCTCCTGAAGCCCAGGCTGTTCTCAGACTCCTTGTGTAGCTGAGACTGGCCTTGAACCCTTGATCTTCCTGCCTTCATTTCTGGAGTGCCCATAGATCAAGTGTGCTTCTCCCCTCCCCACCCCCCAAAGAGAGTGGCTTGAAAGGCAGCCCGGCATGGCGGCAAAAACTCAAGCCTTAAATCTGCCTCCTCAAAGATAAAGCACAGTGCCAAGGTGAAGGTGAGTTTAAAGCCAAGGCTTTCCACGGTGATAGAAAAGTGTGCGGGGCCTGAAGACAGCTCAGCGGGCAAACCCTTGCAGCCAAGCCTCATGGCCTGAGTTAGAGCTCTGGCTCCCAGAAGGTGAGAAGCAACTCCTCAAAGTTTTCTCTGATCACACAAGTGCACACAAGATAAAAACAAAACAGATGCTTAAAATAAACTTTTTTTTTGGTTTTTTGAGACAGGGTTTCTCTGTGGCTTTGGAGGCTGTTCTAGAACTAGCTCTTGTAGACAAGGCTGGTCTAGAACTCACAGAGATCCATCTGCCTCTGCCTCCCCGGTGCTGGGATTAGAGGCTTGCGTCACCACTGCCTGGTTTAAAAGAAACTTTTAAGAGTAGATTGTGGAAGATGTCTTTAATCCTGCGCTCGGTAGGCAGAGGAATGTGAATCTCTATGAGTTTGAGGCCAGCCTGGTCTACACAGTGATACTCTGTTTTGTTTTTGTTTTTAAAGGCTGATCCTGGTGGTGCACACCTTTAACCCCAACACTAGGGAGACAGAGGCAGGAGGATCTCTGTAAGCTCTTTGAGGCCAGCCTGGTCTACAGATAGGCTTCAAAGCTACACAGAGAAACCCTGTCTCAAAAAACAACAACAACAACAACAAAAAACAACAAAGAAAGAAAGGAAAGAAAAGAAAAAAGCAAAAATAAAAACAGCCAGGTGGTGGTGGTGCACGCCTTTAATCCCAGCACTAGGTTGGTAGAGGCAGGCAGATCTTTGTGAGTTCGAGACCAGGACAGCCTCCTATGCCACAGAGAAACCCTGTCTTGAAAAACAAACAAACAAACAAAACAAAAACAAAAACCATTTTTTGTGTTGTCTGGATTTTGCATTTCAGTAGTCAATTTTTTGTTTTGTTTTTGTTTGGTTGGTTTCTTTTTCTTTTTTTTTTTTTAAACAGGGTTTCCCTGTAGCCCAGGCTGTCCTGCACTTACTTTGTAGACCTCAAACTCAGAAACCTACCTGGCCCTGCCTCCACAAGTGCTGGGATTAAAGGTGTGCATTGCTGCACACACACCCACACACACAGCTCCGTGATACAAATTCTGAGTGCTGGGAATATAGGTCATCACAAGTGCGCCTACATGGCTGCTTTCCATCCGCACTCGCGTCCCACACTAAGAAAGAGCTTCTTGGAATGCGTGTTCCCAGAGGCTCAAGTAAGGAAGATTATATCAGAGCTCTAGGGGTGTAGCTCTGAGGAAGGACAAAAGCTTAGTATGGGAAACAGTTTAAGATGATATTGGTAGAGCTTGCAAGATGTCTTTGCAGCTAAGAAGACTTGCTGCAAAGCCTAAAGACCTGTGTTCAATCCCCAGGAGGATAAATTGGAGAGATTGCTGAGTTCAAACCCAGCCTTCAGTACATCAAGCCTTTCAGGCAAGCATCCAGTTCAAGGCCAATTCAATGCCTGTAATTCAATGGTGCTCATGCCTGTAATTTCAGCCCTTCGGAAGTTGAGGCAGGAGGATTGTCCAGAATTGCTGGCTATCCTAGCTACAGAGTGATACTGACTTATAATCCCATCACCCAAAAAAGATGGGGCGGGGGCGGACGGAGAGTTTAGGAGCGAGCGTTTAGCATGGTCTCTCCTGGACCTCTTTCCCCTTGGGTCCCAGTACTTTGCGGCACCCGAGACGCGCGTGCCCACTTTTGTCCACACGGAGGCGCTGTGCTCGCCGCGGTCTGGCTGCTCTAGGCGGCACCGGAAGCCTCGTTCTTCCCGCGCTTCCGCTCTCTACCCGGGCTGGGAGCTGCGTGGAGCTAGACTTCGCGATGCCGACCGGCGACTTTGAGTGAGGACGGGGCGGTGGCGGGTTCTCCGGAGGGGCGGTGGGGGGCAGCCCTGGTGTGCGGTGGTCCGGGCGGCGCGGGGGTCGGGACCCGCTCACCCGTCTCGTGTCCCCGCAGCTCGAAGCCCAGCTGGGCCGACCAGGTGGAAGAGGAGGGCGAGGACGGTGAGTGTCGGGAGCGGCCCCTCCCGCCCTGCCCCGGCGGGAACTGAGTCCCCAGAGTTCCCCCACCGTGGTTGACAGCCCCAGCCCCGTGGCCCACTTTTCCTCCTCCCCGCATTCCCTCTGACAGACAAGTGTGTCACCAGCGAGCTCCTGAAAGGAATCCCTCTGCCCACCGGTGACACCAGTCCAGAGCCTGAGTTACTGCCCGGAGGTGAGCCACACCCAGCCCCGCCATCTCCCTCCTGCCCACCCTCAAGCCTATTGTCCAGCCAGACCCCGCTCTGCGGGACTCAGCTTCTGTCCCCTTCCTACAGACCCACTGCCGCCTCCCAAGGAAGTGATCAACGGGAACATAAAGACGGTGACGGAGTACAAGGTGGACGACGATGGCAAGAAGTTCAAGGTGAGCAGAGGGCCGCGTGCCCGGTGCTCAGGGCGCTGGGTGGCTGATGTCGGTGGGGGTGTGGGTTTGCATTGGTGAGGAAGGCCTCGGGATTCTGGAAGGACTCCTCTCTCTTTCCGTCTTCAGATTGTCAGAACCTTCAGGATTGAGACCCGGAAGGCATCAAAGGCTGTGGCGAGAAGGAAGGTGAGACCCTCCTGTCTCATTTTGGTGTGTCTGGAGGGGTCCCCAGGATTGACCCGGAGGAGTTGGGAAGCCCTTTCCTGTGGATGTAGAATTGGAAATTTAGGGTCCAGGAGTAGGTGAGGGTGTTTTTTGTTTTGTTTTCCCCCTTTTGTGTGCTCCTGCGTATAGTGTCAACTCCTCCAGCACGTTCCTCTTGGATTGAGATTTCGTCATCAGGAATTAGATTTGGCCACCTATCCCCGGTGAGCCTGCTGTCTCTGCCTTCTGAGATAATAGTTGCACGCATCTGTGCCCAGCCTGTCATTGTGGGTGCTTGGGATTTAACTCTCATGGGTACTTTTGTGACAAATAATTTGCTAACTGAGACATAATCCAGCCCTTGGGTTTTTGGTTTTTTGTGTTGTTATTTTTGAGAGGCTCTTGTTGTGTAGTCTTCAAATTCTAAATCTTTCTGCCTAGCCTCCTGGGTCCTGACTTAGATTCTTACTCCTTTGTTCTGTCTACCTGAAGAAACAAGCAGCCTCTGCTGGGCAAGGGGCAGGGGCTTCTGGAGAAGGACAGCAGTGCCCTGAGAGCAAGGCTCGGTGCCAGGCACTCGGGCTGGGGAGGCTCCCGTTTTACAGGAGGGAGGTCTGGCTTAACTAGCTTAAGGTTCCTGTGATCTGAGTGACTCTTGGACATGCTCCAGCTTCCTTCCTGGTGGGAGCTGACCCTGCACTTGCCTGGAACCTGCAGAGGCGGCACAGTTGTGTGTGTCTCCTTGTGGTGTGTGTCGAGGGTCGTGAATGCCTGTACATTCACACACAGGCCAGAGGAGGGTGTGGGTGACTACTGTATCATGTCACTCTGCAACTTACTCTCTTTAGATCAGGGCCCCTGCTTAACTCTTTTGTTTGTTTCTTTTTTGTTATTCAAGACAGGGTTTCTCTGTGTAGCTTTGGAGCCTTTCTTGGACACTCAGACTAGGCTGGCCTCGAACCCACACAGATCTGCCTGCCTCTGCCTCTCAAGTACTTGCATTAAAAACATGTACCACCACCACCTGGCTCATACTTAACTTTTTTTTTTTCTCGAGACAGGGTTTCTCTGTATTGTTTTGGAGGCTGTTCTAGAACTCGCTCTGTAGACCAGGCTGGCCTCGAACTCACAGAGATCCACCTGCCTCTGGGATTAAAGGCGTGCGCCACCAACACCTGGCTCATACTTAACTTTTTATATGAGAGTTTGGGAATGGAACTCGGGTTCATGCATGTACAACTGGTTTTACAACTGAACCTCTTTACCAGTACCCGCCCTCCACCTCCCTCCCCTCTGTCTCAGCCTTACACAGCATAGCTCAGGCTGGTTTTGAACTTGTATGTCTCAGGATGACCTTGAGCTTGGAATCTTCCGTTTCCACTTCCAGGTGTTGGGGTGACAGTTGGGTACCGCCTCACCTAGCTTAGGAAATGAGGGTTGTCCCCATCATCACATGGAGGCCTCTGGGGGTTTAAGGCCCTGACATGGCTGTCTGGGATAGGCCACTCTGGCATCTTACCTGCCCTTGTCCTCGTTTTCCCTGCCCTTCTGCGAGCCCAGAACTGGAAGAAGTTTGGCAACTCGGAGTTTGACCCACCGGGACCCAATGTGGCCACCACCACAGTCAGCGATGACGTCTCCATGACCTTCATCACCAGCAAAGAGGTGAGCAGGGTGACGCTGGGACCCAGCAGTGCAGGGACACGGTCACACACAGACACACAGACAGACAGACAGACAGACAGACAGACAGACAGACAGACACACACACACACACACACACACACACACACACACGCCCCTCTGAGCCACCCCTCCTTGTTCCCCACCAGGACCTAAACTGCCAGGAGGAGGAAGACCCAATGAACAAGCTCAAGGGCCAGAAGATTGTGTCCTGCCGCATTTGCAAGGGCGACCATTGGACCACCCGCTGCCCGTACAAGGACACACTGGGGCCCATGCAGAAGGAGCTGGCCGAGCAGCTGGGCCTGTCTACTGGGGAAAAGGAGAAGCTCCCCGGAGGTGGGCCTGGGGCATGGGAGGGGCCTCAACTCTTCCTTTTGAAGTGAGCTCTTTTCTTTCTCTGGCCAGGTTTGAGTAGCCTCTGCCAGGGCACCCTCAGATACCTCATTTGCTTGGGGCATGGTCGTTCCTGTGTACACGTGGCTGGTGACTTATTCTAACGTGTGTGTGTGTGTGTGTGTGTGTGTGTGTGTGTGTGTGTGTGTGTGTGTGTGTGTGTGTTTGTCCCATGTGTTGGACTCAGTGTGACTCCGTAGGTCAAAATCTAATGTGCCTTGTAGGTGGCTGCCTCTTGGTGAGCCCAGGGACACCCTCCCTGGGTCATGAGCCTGCAGTCTGGGTGCTGAGAGACTGTGTTCTCTAGCTCGTGGGGCTCTGTGGTGCTGGGCTGTGGTGCCAGGCCCACATCTGTCCTGTGGCTTGTTCACTGTACCCATATTGTTGTCAGTAGAGACTTTGAAGGGTAGTAGCTTCTGGATGTGACCTTTGGGGTCACCAAAGGATGACTGAATGCCTGTAGCTCAGGGCTGGGGCTGAATGTGACTTTGTCCACTGCTTTCCAGAGCTGGAGCCTGTGCAGGCCGCCCAGAACAAGACAGGGAAGTATGTGCCCCCGAGTCTCCGGGATGGGGCCAGTCGCCGTGGGGAGTCCATGCAGCCGAACCGCAGAGGTGAGGGGCGAGGAATAGCCTGGGTTCAAGTAGATAAAACTAGACCTGCAATTATCCAGTATTGTGGGCGTGGGGTCTAACTTGGGTGTGCTTCTCACTGTCTACACAGCCGACGACAATGCCACCATCCGCGTTACTAACCTGTCTGAGGACACGCGTGAGACTGACCTCCAGGAGCTCTTCCGGCCTTTTGGCTCCATTTCCCGCATATACTTGGCCAAGGACAAGACCACTGGCCAGTCCAAGGTGAGTGGGCTGGTCTGGGAATGGGTGACTGGATAGTACCAGTCCTAGGACCCACTTCTTACCCCACTCCTGACTATCTGCCCCTGGCCCCCAGGGTTTTGCTTTTATTAGCTTCCACCGCCGGGAAGATGCTGCACGAGCCATTGCAGGGGTTTCTGGCTTTGGCTACGACCACCTCATCCTCAATGTGGAATGGGCCAAGTAAGATGTCCTTCCCACCCTTCCCACATCCTCTGTAGCCCACTATGGCCTGCACCAGCTGTGTGGTACCAGGCCTGTCTGAAGGAAGGTCCTTTATTGTGCTCTGGGAAAAACTTGGCCACTGTGCTTAAGCAGGCAAGGCCTGGGCTTCCCTGGTGTGTCCTTACCTCCTCCCTCTCTTTCCAGGCCATCAACAAACTAATAAGACACTTGCTGCCTGCTGCTGTCACCCAGACCCTCAGGAACAGAAGGCTTCCATTAAATAGACTCCAAACACACTTGTGTCTTGCTTGTTCTCATGGGTCTCTGTTCTTGGGAGGTGGGGGTAAGGGGTGCTGGTCCCTGGTGAGGGGAGGGGTAGCTGGGGGACTTTGAGCACTTCAGGGCTGTGGTCACAACCCAGCCTTTGAGGAGGAGGCTTCAGGGCTCAGCTGGCTTAGGGATGTGGCTGCGCTGGCTAAAGGCAGGTCTTGGCAAGGGCTCTGCTCCTCAGGGTTCCCGTGGCATGGGTGGCAGTTCAGGCTGGGTGCCACAGCCATGTAGAGCAGGGGGTGTATGCATGTGGCCAGGGGCACAAGGATGCGTGTTGTCTGGTACACAAAGAAGGCCCTGGGGCTTAGCGCTGCCACAGCCTCTGACTCACTGCTGAAGCTGGGGCAGCGCTCCATCCAGCGCAGCATGGCGTTCACGTGCAGCACTTGGGTGATGTGGTAGGGAGCGTAGGAGCAGGCGTAGAGAACCACACCGCTCGTGACCAGCACTACCACACGCAGTTTCTGGGCTGCAGTCATGCTTGGGCTGCGCAGCACCACCAACCCTAGGGCACTGTAAGCCATCAGGGTGAGCAGCAGCGGCAGGACGCCACCCAGACACGCCAGCACCAGGCTGTAGGTTCTGAAGGTTTCTAGCTGGCTGTCCTCCATCATCCCCAGGCACTTGATACAGGCCTCATGGTTAAATGCACTGCATGGTCCAAGTCCTTCACGGAGCCGATTCTGATGGGAGAAGCCGAGCATGGGGGCAGCCAGCAGGATGGCCATGGCCCAGCTGGCCGCACTGGCAGCCCAGGCGTGCTTGGGCCGCAGGTGTCTCCGCGTAAAGAAAGGATGCACAACCACCATATACCGGCTGAGGCTGATGCAGGTGATGAAGATGATGCCGCCCAGCAGGTTGCAGGTAAAGACAAAGCGCTCCAGGCGGCAGGCCACCTCCCCAAAGCTCCAGTTTTTGGGTGGGTAGAAGTAGGCAGCCAGAGGAGGTAGTGTGAGTGCATAGCATAGGTTGCTGACCGCCAGCTGTACAGAGAAGACCACAGCCGGATGCCAGGGTCTCTGCTCTTGGGTGATAAGGCGGTACAGGGCCAGGCCATTGCCCAGCACTGCCACCAGGAACTCTGCCATCAGGATGGCCCAGAGGTAGTCCTCCTGAAAGCTCCTGTACATCTTGTCAGCAGCTTCCACAAACTTTGCCTGGCAGGACTTGTTACCTGTGGGCACAGCAAATGAGCCTCAGCCCAGCTCCTGCATTGCATGCATACCAGCTCCTGCAAGCCAGTGGTGAGCAAGTGGAGGCCTGCATGTAAATACAGCCTGGCAGGCCCCTATCGCTACCTGGAAAGGGACCAGCCTACCTTCAGGTGGAAGGGGCCAGGGTCACATTCAGTCTGGTTTTGAACCAAGACCCTGAGTCTGTGTGTGCAGTCACCATGCAGGGCGGTTCCCACCACACTTGCCCTCTGCTAGATTCAAGCAGAGGTGCCCACAGGTATCAGCCAGGGTTGCTACTCAGCACCCTTATTTCCCAGCAACTCCACCCCAATTCACTGAGCCTTGCTTTGTTCCTACACAGCCATTCTTACTGACCAGGTAGCCTCTTCAAAGTATCAGACTGCTTCTGACAGGCTACCCCACTCCCTCAGCAGTCCGTACACCCACCCGATCCTTAGATATGCTCCTCCACGCTGGTATCTAGTGGGATCTGGTCAGCCCCATAGGGCACACGTCCCGTGTCTTAACTGACCGAGTGTTAATTTACCTGAGAGGGCAGCCATGGTCCTCACAGCAGCTCTAGGTTACAGAAGGTCCCTCCTGGGTTCCCAGCAGTGTGGCCACTGGCCCATCTCAACTTGCATAGCCAGTCAGGGTGACACCTCCCACTTTCTCCCTGCACCATCTGGGCTGGGCCTGTCTGAATCTTGGCCTGTCACAACTAAGTACTGTTAGCCCCAGCCCCACCCCAACCAGTGAGACCGACTCAAAAAAAAAAAAAAAACGCCATGTTCAGGTTTATTGGAGGTAAGAACTGGGTAGTTCCTTTATGAAAGGAAACCAGGCTGCACTGGAGCCCAAGGTAGCTCCCAAGCCCCAATGTGGGGCATCCATGGTCCACCCACTGCCAAGCAGGCTCAGGCTCTTCTTGAAGGCTGGCCCAGGTTGTGGCGTGTGGCTCTGGGTCCCAGCTTGGTCTTCACTCCTTGGGATCTACCCTTTGGTTTTGGAGGCCGCCAGTTGCGGCCTTGGCCTGAGACAGGCCTCTGTTTCTTCCCTTGATGCTTCTTGCCTGGAGGGCCTCCCTGCCGTCTCCGCTTGGCCACTCTAGGGAACATATCTGTAGGGAGAGAATGGTCAAAGGCCTCACGAATGAAGGAATGAAGGAACTCCTCCGGTGTCAGCACCACAGACAGACCCTGCCACACACCTTCATCAGGCTCCTCGCCCACGGCCTGGCGAAAGTATTCGGCGTCATCCTCCTCCTCCTCAAGCGGCCCGGCCCCCACTGCCTCTGGAGGTGCCCCAGGGTCCTCAGCGTCACTGTCACCATCGACCCCCGTACGGGCTCGCTTCATGCCTGCCAAGCTCTTCTTCCTGGAGAACAGTGTCACAGGTTGGCTTGCTCAGGTTCCCGCCCACCTCTCCGCCCACTTGCCTTTGCATACTTGTGGGCTTCTCGAAGTTCCCGCTTGCGTTGTAAGTTCTCAGTCTGCTGGTTCTGACGCTGGGCCTTGAGCCGCAGTTTCTCCTCCTTTGCTGCCAAGATGGCCTGCAGTTCCTCCTCAGTCTTGTGCACTGTGAGCGAAGACCAGACACACCCGTCAAGATCACAGCGGGACCCAGAACTGTCCTAACAGGCTGTGCCCGGTCCTCTTACCAAAACTGTGGAAGAGCACATTGCCATTCCCAACACCTTCCTGGATCTTAATGAGCTGCAGGGTCATCCGGGGCCCAATCTGGAGATACATGGAGGAGAGGGTCAGGCTGGCCTCAGGACTGAAGGCCATGAAGGCCATGGAGCCCCTAGAGCCCTCCTCACCTCAGTAAGTCTGATGGCACTCTGCTGGGCCTGCATGTTGCCTCGGCCAGCCACAGCCTGGGGCAGCTCTGTGATGTTGTGCTCGCCATCTGGCTCCGCCTCGCTCTCTGACAGCCCCGCACCCCTGAGGGGGATAGCAGGTTACCTTCAGTGCTCCACAGGGCAGCTCTGGGACTCCCGAGCTGCAACTGCCACCCACCCAAAACCTTTCTCACGTGGCCAGCAGCTCGCTGATGTCCTGCAGGCGGCTCATGTTGGGAAACTTCTCCTGCAGGAGCTTCTTCATGCCGCGGCTGGCACCCACGGGCACCACTTTGATGCTGCTGCAGTGGGAGGAGCAGAGGGGGTCTGAAGAGTCCCAGGGTCCCAGGTCAGCTCCCGCCCTCCCTCCTGTGCGTGCATCAGGGCGTTTACTTTGAGTCTTTGAGCAATCACACGGTCTCAGCAGCAGAGTTCTCATCAGGTGCACGTGGAAGCCCACCCTGATCCTCCCACCAACACTCACTAGTGCCGGAAGTCCAGCTCCTGGGAGTCCGGGTTGTAGTTAATGAGGAGGCAGCGCTTAATGGTGTTCAGGTTCACCTGGGGGGCCAGAGAGAGGTTCCAACCAGGCATGAGCAATGACTCCCTCCAGCAGCCTGCATCTGTGGCAGGCACTAGGGATGCTCCATAGGGATGCAACCAGTGTCTACAGACTGTATGGAGCACTGGCTCAGCTGCAGGACTTTCTAAGTGGCACCTTGTAATGAGCCTAATCTGAGACCCACCGGGGCCGGGGTTAGCAGCTGAAACTGTAGTTCTGCTGGCCTTGGTGGCTGAGGCAGGAAGATTACAAGTCTAAGCTCAGCCTGGGCTAACACAAGGCCTTGTGTCGAGAAACAAGAAATGTAGCTCAGTCGGCAGAGTGCTTGCCTAGCACGCCTACCATACAAAGTCCAAGTCTGATTGCCAACGCCTGAAACCAAGTGTACACCACACAAGGTGTACTAAGCAAGGGAGAGATGGAGAGCCACAAGTTCAAGTCCAGCCTCAGCCACAGAGCAAGCTGGAAGCCAGCCTGAAACACAGGAGATCCTGTCTCAGTAATAACTGCACCAACCCCAGCCCCGCCCGAATTTAAGATCATGCCATAGTCTCTCCACACAATGAGGACGTGACATGGGGCCCAGCGTGCCTGCCCCTACCCAACGGCAGCTGCCAGAGATCGGGCCTACCGTGTGCACGTTGATGGACGGGAACAGGTTCTGGAACATGGTGGCCATGAGCTTGACGTGCATGCCCTGGGGGTTGAAGCTGTTGAGCACCAGGAGGGGCGGATGGTTAAACTGCTGCTCATGCATCCGGTGTCGGCGCAGGGAAGAGACCACATCCTTGACCAGTGTGTACTGGAGGGGAGGGTGGAGAGGGGCTGAGGACGTCTGTGTGACCAGGGCCCTCCCCAGGCAAGCTAGGCTTCCACATCACCTAACCCCCTCACCTTGTTGACCTGGAAGGTCAAAGTGGGGCCTCCCGGGAGGCGCATCAGCTTCTGCCAGAGAGAGGACGGGTGAGGGTGGAGGGGTGTGGCTGGGAGGGAGGGCGAGGGAGGGGGAGAGCTGCTCCATCGCTTCAGAGCGTTTACTTTGAAGCCGGCATCACAGCAGCTCAGGGCGGTGGGCTCATCACCAGACGGGAGCAGCGGGAGAGGGAGGGAAAGTCAGGGTTCCCACTCACCAAATAGACGCTGCTGTCCGTTTTGCTCAAGATAAGGAAGTGTGTGACACCGAGGGGGCCGGCCACTGCCACACAGTCCTTCAGTGAGTTCTTCTTCCGAACCTGGTAATTAGAAAGAGGAATGGATACAGATAGGTCCTTATTGAGCTAAGAAACGCAAACCGAGGCTTCTGAGATGTTATTTCTGACCCCCCCCAACTTTCTGGGGGCACCAGGGACTTAACTACTCCTGAGTCACAGCCCCAGCACGCACAAATACTTTTTGAAATTATTCTGTGTGCAATCGTGTAGGGGCGCACAGGCGGAGGTCAGAGGACAACCTTCAGGAGCGGGTTCGGGCGGATTGGACTCAGGCAAGCCCCCTCGGCTGCGGAGTCGTCTCTAGACTGCCCCCACGCCTGGGGCTTTACTTCTTTACACGAGCCCGCACTCCGTCCCACGGCTGGCCTCCAGCACAGGGCGCCCTGCCCTTCTCGGGCCTGGTTCCAGCGGAGCTGGGGATGCGGCGGGGGCTCCCGCCACAGGGGAGGCCGGCGCTGCTCCGCACCGGACTGAACCATCAACCTCTGGCCCCGAGCCGTCGCCGGGGCCTGGGGCTTGGAGGGCTGGGGATGCAGACCTGCAGGCGGGTGGCGGTGAGCGGCTCCATGACGCGCCGCACATCCAGGCTGAGTTGCTGGACGCTGCGACCCGCCCGGCCTCGCGTGAACACGAACGAGTGCGGCTGCGCGGCGTAGGCCTCGAGGTTGCGGAGCTGGGCCTGGGCGCGAGCGCGCTTCTGGTGCCGGGACTGCGGGGGCGACAGGCGGCCGGTGAGCGCCCCGGCTGCGACCCCCCCTGGGCCCCATGCCCGCCCGGGCCGCCGAGCCTCACCCGCCCCGACTGCCCCATGCTGCCTGCTCCTCCACGAGGTCGCCTCCGCTGCTTCCGGCGCGCACCGCTCACTTCCGACGCAGGGGGCTCAACGCGGACTTCGTGCTCTGTGGTCCACTTCCGGCGCCTCGTGGCTCGTGTGCGTCTTCCCACTTCCGGCGCTCCCGCCAGTGACGTCACTCGGCTACGTGGTTGAAGGACCAAGACGGAAGTAGACTTACTATGCGGGTTCCTGCGGAAACAGGGAGGGCCGCACAGTCACTCGAGGGTTCGGATCCCGATCCTGCATGTTTCTGCGAAAGACTCCCTCTTCTTACCTTCTCCTTCTAGGCTGGCTTGCAACAAACAGAGAACCGCTTGCCTATGCTGAGCTGTGCCCCTACGCCTGACTAGACAGGCTCACTCATTTACACGAGTGTATATATTAAATTTATATACATCTTTATGACAGGGTCTCACAGTGTAGCCCTGACTGGTCGGCTCACACAGGTCCGCGGGCCTGTCTTCCAAACACTGGGATGAATGGCATGTACCTCCATGTTTGCTCCCTTCCCAAATGCATCTATTTATCTGTGGTGGTGCAAACGCTAAGGCACCCACAGGGAGGTCAGAGGGTACCTGGTAAGAGTCGGTGTTCTCATTCCACAGTGTGAAGCCTGGAGATGGAATTCAGGTACTCAGTGGCCTCTACTCACTGAGCCATCTTGCCAGATCTCTACAAGTGTTTTATTTGTTATTTCCTGTGTGTGGGTATTTTGCCAGCTTGGATGTTTGTGTACCATTTCCATGCTTGGTGTCTGAGGAGGCCAGAAGAAGGCATCCTGAAGAGGGAACCAGAGTTACAGACGGTTGTGGGTTCTGGGGATCGAACCTGGGCTCTTGAAAGAAGCAGCCAGAGCGCTGGGTGGCTGCACGCCTTTATCCCCTATGGCTTTTCTTACATCCGTCCCTCCCTCACCCCTTCCCTCCTGCCTTTCCCCTCCCATTCTTTCCCTGTGCAGCCCACGCTGGCCTTGGAGTCAGCCTCCTCCTGCCAAGGAGGGCATCTTGCTGGCATCTGTCTCCCCATCTCTTGTATTTCCTCTTCTCTGAGGCTCCTAGCAGACCTATAACTAAGTGTCCTGTCTCCCTGCCCTCAATATAGAAAGATACCATCCCAGCACTCGGGAGGCAGAGGCAGGCGGATCTCTGTGAGTTCGAGGCCAGCCTGGTCTACAAAGTGAGTTCCAGTACAGCCTCCAAAGCTACAGAGAAACCCTGTCTCGAAAAACCAAAAAAAAAAAAAAAGATACCATGCTGATCCTGGCCACACTGGTCCCTGTCATATGGGGTTCAGTCAGGCAATGGATTGAACCCTGAGTGACCCCTCATCATTGTCTTTCAGATCTTGAGGGCTACTTCCACTCCCCAGCCCAGGGTCTCTTTCTGCAGGTGGGTGGGAGCTTCCTCTGAAAGCCAAGCGACCATCCCCTTTCCCATTTGTACTCCCCACATCATCTTGACCTCAGGCTCCCCCCCAAAAAAAGAAAACTTTCAGTGAGGAGAGGGACACTCACCCCAAGGTTTAGTATCTTTTTTAAAGATTTATTTATTATGTACACAGTGTTCTGCCTACACATATGCCAGCTTGTTTATTTATTTAACACTTATTTATTTATTTATTGGTTTTTTTGAGGCAGGGTTTCTCTGTGTTGTTTTGGAGGCTGTCCTGGAACTCGCTCTGTAGACCAGGCTGGCCTCGCAAAGATCCGCCTGCCTCTGCCTCCGGAGTGCTGGGATTAAAGGTGTGTGCCACCAACTCCAGCAAGGGTTTATTATGTCAACAGTGCCTGGATGTCTGCACACCAGAAGAGGGCATCAGATCTCATTAGAGATGGTTGTGAGCCACCATGTGGTTGCTGGGAATTGAACTCAGGACCTCTGGAAGAGCAGTTGGTGCTCTTAACCTCTGAGCCATCTCTCCAGCCCCCCTTCTTTATTTATTTATTTATTTTTTGGTTTTTCGAGACAGGGTTTCTCTGTGGCTTTGGAGGCTGTCCTGGAACTAGCTCTTGTATACCAGGCTGGCCTCGAACTCACAGACCTTCTTTATTTTTTTAAGACAGGGCCTCGCGAGCCGGGCGTTGGTGGCACACGCCTTTAATCCCAGCACTCAGGAGGCAGAAGCAGGCGGATCTCTGTGAGTTTGAGGCCAGCCTGGTCTACAGAGTGAGTTCCAGGACAGGCTCCAAAACAATACAGAGAAACCCTGTCTCGAAAAAAAAAAAAAAGACAGGGCCTTGCTCAACTATGTAGACCAGACTAGCCTGGAACACAAAGATCACCTGACTCAGACTCCTGAGTGCTGTGATAAAAGGCTTGTGCCACGACACCCAGTGAATAGTTAATGGTTTGAACAAGGCTCATTTATTTGGATGCTTGGTACCCAGTTGATGGAACATTTTGGGAAGGAATAGGAGGTGTGGTCTTGTTGGAGGGAGTGTGTCACTGGGGCTGGGCTTCAAGGTTTCAAAAGGCCCAGTGTCTTTCTCTCTGCCTCCTGCTTGTGAATCAGATGCAATGATTATGTCTCTCTGCTGCCATGCTCCCTGCTGTGATGGTCATGGACTCACCCTCTGAAACTGTAAGCAAGCCCCCATTAAATGCTTCTTTATGTAAGTTGCCTTGGTCACGATGTCTCCTCATAGACATAGAACAGTAACTAAGACAGTGATCTAAAACAGCCTCAGACATCTTCGAAACTCCTGCACATACCGATAAGAGCACCGGGAACTCCCTGCACATACCGGTAAGAGCACCAGGAACTCCCTGCACATACCGGTAAGAGCACCTTGCCTGACAGGAAAGCCTACATAGTAATGAGAACATCTGCAGTCCGGAGCTAGGAGAAACCTGACCAGGTCAGCATATTATAAAAACATCTCAGCCCTGAGACTACAAACATACAGATAAAACTCCATCTCTTCTCCGCCCCCTGCACCTTGGCACACAGTCTCCACTTCTGCAGTAAAGGGCAGTGTCGGTCTCCTTTATTTCACACTGCCTCCATCAATCCTGAACTAACACCCACCAACCCCACTCCCTTCTTAGGGGCTCACTGGCTGGCTTGGAAGTCACAGAGATCCAACTGCCTCTATCTCCCAGGTAAACTGTGATTAGGCATGCGCCACCACATGTTGAGGTTTTGTTTTCTTCTTGCAGTACTGGGTACCAACCCAGGACCTTACAAGTGCTCTACTACTGAGGCAATCCCAGTCCCTCACTGGGGGATTCTAGGCAGCGGTTCTACAGTTGAGTCACACCCCTAGCCTGGCTGCTAGGGTTAAATGAGGAACAAGCTTTACTCTTTAAGGGTGTCCCCAACACCAAGCAGGTTAGGTTGCTCACTGATACCCGTCATTGTCATCTTAGTTATGTCATAGTTGTCTGAGTCTGGATCCCACATGCTCTGTGAGCTTCTGAGAAAAAGGAAGACACTCATGGAGGGCAGTGGCCTCTGTTATCACACTCTGGAGGCCTCGGCAAGGGATCTGGTTTTTCTGCCTGGATTCTCACACGAGAAATACTAAATATTTACACTTGCTCTGCTCCCAGCCTGGGGGGATGGGTGGTTCTGTCCCTTCTCTATCCAGTCAGCTCAGAGACCCTCCCAATCCTTCAGGTCTCCCTCAGATTTTGTGGGCTTGCTGCAAACCTCACTGGAGTCATCATCTGGGTCGTGAGAGGTGAGAGTGGGTACAGGTGGTGGTAGCTGTTTGTCTAGAGACTCCTCCTTTTGATTCGGATGGGGGGGTACCAAGGCCTCTTGTTTAACTCCAGGCTTGCCTGAGAAGGCAGCCACATGGGCCGAAGAGAAAACGCTGCTCGGGGCTTGGTGCTCCTGCGTGATGAGGGGTTGCTGCAGCTAACACCCCCCGTCTCTGGCTCAGAGCGCTCCATGGTTGCCTGCTTCAGAGCAGAGTCCTTTGACTGCATGCCTCCTGCTCACTCTTCCTCCCGTCTATGCCACCCTTGAGGCCTCCGTGCTGTTTGTCTTTTCGGTACATCTGAAATGAGATCCAACCCCAAGACCTTTGCACTGATGCTTCCTTCTGAGCAGGTGCAAGTGTGTGAGGCAGTGTTGGGGAGTGGTGACTTGGGGACCTGGGTGTGGGTGGGCTCTGCAGGGCCGGAATGGGGAATCCATGAATATTAACCTGGCAGAAGACTGTGAGCACGGCACGGTGGCACACACCGGCCATCTGGCGGTGGAGAGGCCCAGGTAGTAGGATGCCAAGTTCTGAACCAGTCTTGAGATACATCGTGATACCTGTCTCAAATTAGAAATGAGTGTCTCAGCATGAGCAAGACCTAGGGTTTCATTCCCAGCATCCGCCCCCCCAACACACACAACAGAGGTTGTCTCCTGAGGTGGGAGACAGAGGGTTCTGAGGGGAGAGAGAGGTGTTCAGGCCCAGGTTTCCAGGCGGCAAGGGACTCTGGGTGTACACAGATGCTGCTTGCTGGATCAGCCATGATAAAAGGAGAATCTGCGCTGTAAGCCGCAGAGCACTGCCGTACGAGGTGAGGCTCTGGCCGGGATCAAGACTTCATAACCCTCCCTGGTACCCGGGAGCTTTGGGACCAGTCTGAGCTAAAACAGACAGTAGCCTCCTCCCTCTCCACTGCAGGTGCCATGGGCGCTGTCGGGTTGCGCACGCTGCAGCTGCTGCTCCTGCTGGGCGCTTGGCGGGCACGTGGAGGTGCCGCGCGATGCCGCGTCACGCTGGTACTGTCCCCGCAGAAGGCGACGGGCGCGGTCTGCGGGACCTCGGACGCCTTCCACGACGGCGAGCTGGCCGCGCTGCGCTTGCGCGTAGGCCGCCACGAGGAGCTGCTGCGCGGGCTACAAAGGCGCGCGGCCGAGGGGGGCGCGCTCGAGAGCGAGGTGCGCGCGCTGCGAGAGCACAGCCGCGGCCTGAGCAAGCGCCTGGGTCAGCTGCGCACGCAACTGCAGCCGGAGCCGGGGGCGGAGCCTGACCCGGGGGCGGAGCCTGCTGCAGCGCTCAGTCTGCTCGCGGAGCGCGCGCTCTACGCCGAGGCAGAGGCGCGCCGGACGGCGGCGCGCCTGCAGCAGCTGGACGCACAGCTCCGCGAGCATGCGCAGCTTCTGAGCCAGCATACCCACCTCCTGGGTCGCCTGCAGCGCGCGTGCGCGAGCCCGGACCCGGTCCCGCAGCAGGTACCTACGCTCGGCAATCACAGATCCCAAATCTGAAACGGTGCCTGCGGCGCCACCCACTTGCTCATCCCGGTGTACCGCTGGGGAGAGCTCACTCGCTGCATAGAAGAATATTCACAGGCGCCGAGGCTCACGCTCACTATCACCACACCTGTCTGTCCTGGAACTCGCTTTGTAGGTCAGGCTGGCCTGGAACTCACAGATCCATCTGCTTCTGCCTCCTGAGTGCTGGGATTAAGGCGTGCGCCACCATTGCCAGACTATCTATCTGTCTATCTATCTATCTGTCTATCTATCTATCATCTAACATCTGTCTATGTTCTTCTCATTCTAATGTGTGTTTTGCCTGCACGTGTGTCTGCTTACCATATGTGTGTGCAGTGTCCAGATAGGCCAGAAGCCATCTGGAACTGGAGTTACCAACAGCTGTGAGCCATGTTGGTGCTGGGTCCTCTGGAAGATCAGCCAGTGCTTTTTTTTTTTTTTTGGTTTTTCAAGACCGGTTTCTCTGTATTGTCTTGGAGGCTATCCTGGAACTAGCTCTGTAGACCAGGCTTGTCTCAAACTCACAAAGATCCGCCTGCCTCTGCCTCCTGAGTGCTGGGATTAAAGGCGTGCGCCACCAACGCCTGGCTACAGCCAGTGCTCTTAACTGCTGAGCCGTCTCTCCAGCCCCTAAGACAATATATTCTTGCAGCTACACCAGGCTTCTGAACTTTGGGCTATTCCTCTCAGTAGAGACGACAGCTCTACTGATGAGCTCTACCCCGGTGTTAGCCCTGAATTCTGGATTGGTGGTGGTTCTGCAGATTTTCCTACATCATCCAAGGTCCATGTGCCCCACTCAGCAGATAGGCGCAATGAAGCTGTGATCCACAGCAGAGGGGACTCGGCCCAGCTTTCCCCGATGCACGGAGGAAGGCAGGCGTGGGACACCAGGCCTGCAATCCCCGGGACAGGAGGTGGAGGCTGCAGGGCTGTTGCAATCTCCAGGCCAGTTGGAGAGAGACTCCTCTGAAACAAACAAAAAGCAAGACACAAACAGATAAAGCAGGATTGGGAAGCACTTGGGAGGGGTGCTTGCTGTGTGGGCATGGACACTTGAGCTCCGGGCCCAGCACCACAGGAAACCTGGGGCAGCTTGCATGGACTCCAGTGAGTGGGCAGACGGAGGTTTACCGGGCCTTGCTAGCTGCCAGGCCAACTCAAGCGCAGTGAGAGACCATGTCTGAAATGACCAGAGAGAGCGACAGCGGGAGACCCAGTGCCCTCCTCTGCCCTGCATGCTTGAGTGTGTACCCCACCAGCAAGAAGCCCAGAGCTAGACTTTTGGTAGGGTGGGTGGTAAATGAGGCATTGCCCTGCCTGCTTTCTGTTTATCTGGTGGGAGCTTTGATCTACTGACCCTGCCTGCCCCTCCTCCCCCATGCCAGGGGCTGCCTGGCCTCAGCTGGGGGGTTAATGTCATTATTCTGACTGTATGGCCCCAGGTCCTGCCACTGCCTCTGGTTCCTCTAAGTCTAGTGGGCAGTGCCGGCAACACCAGCAGGAGTCCGGACCAAACTCCAGAGCACCAGAGAGACCAGAGCTTGAGGCAGCAGGAGCCCCCATCTCCTCCCCTGCCTACTGGGCACCTTGCTGTTCCCACCAGACCAGTGGGTAAGTCAAGACAGGCATGCCGGAGTCTGTGTGTGTGAGATGAAGACCCAGGACTCCAGTGTGGTGTGGGCAGATGGAAATATTACAGTTAGGATTTGGTTTATGGTGTGGGGAGTAGAGGAAATGATGCTCGTATTTTGGTGAGGGGACAAGAAAGGACTATTAGTCTGTGAAAAGAACAGCCTGGAGATGTGGTTCATTGGTAGAACACTAAGGTCTTCAGTTGCCTTCCAACAGTACAGAAGCAAAACAAATCCTCCTCTTCCTTTTTTGGGGGGGAGGGAGAGTGGTTTTCAAGACAGGGTTTCTCTGTGGCTTTGGAGGCTGTCCTGGAACTCGCTCTTGTAGACCAGGCTGGTCTTGAACTCACAGAGATCCGCCTGCCTCTGCCTCCGGAGTGCTGGGATTAAAGGTGTGCGCCACCAACTCCTGTCTCCCAATCCTTTTTTTAAAAAAAAATTTATTTTCTGTGCATTGGTGTTTGCCTGCATGTATGTCTGTGTGAGGGGTCAGATCTTGGAGTTGGTAGCTGCTGTGTGGGTGCTGGAAACTGAACCCAGGTCCTCTGGAAGGGCAGTCAGTGCTGTTAACCACCGAGTGTGAAAGCAGGAAGAAGAGAAATAGGCATGGGCATTATGTTGATGAGGGCATGGACGATTAGACTGCTCTCTGGTGAGAAACTGACTCATAGGACCGTGTTTATTGAGAGAACAGGAACCGGTAAGAAAACGGTTCTTCCTCAGATGGGGACGAAGATGGCTTTTATTGGGGTAAGGGGACTGGTGAGAATCAGGACTCTGATCCAGTAAGGGCCTGCCTGGTTGGCTCACGCTGCCCCTCACCACAGGCCCGTGGAGGGACTGTGCAGAGGCTCACGGGGCAGGCCACAGGCAGAGTGGAGTGTATGAGCTGCGGCTGGGCCGGCGCGTGGTACCCGTGTGGTGTGAACAGCAGCAGGAGGGGGGCGGCTGGACCGTCATCCAGAGGCGGCAAGATGGTTCCGTCAATTTCTTCACTAACTGGCAGCACTACAAGGTGGGTGCTTGAGGCAGGGGTGTGGAGACTGGCTGGGCAGGGAGGACACCTGCCCTGACCTCCTGCCCCTCCTGCCCCTCCAGGCAGGCTTCGGGCGGCCCGACGGGGAATACTGGCTTGGCCTGGAACCGGTGCATCAGGTGACCAGCCGTGGGGACCACGAGCTGCTCATACTTCTAGAGGACTGGGGAGGTCGTGGGGCACGAGCACACTATGACAGCTTCTCCTTGGAGCCCGAGAGCGACCACTACCGCCTGCGACTGGGCCAGTACCACGGTGATGCTGGAGACTCCCTCTCCTGGCACAGCGACAAACCGTTCAGCACTGTGGACAGGGACCGAGACTCCTATTCTGGTAGGGAGAGCTTTCATTCTGGTGGGAGGGCGGGAAGGTGGGACAGCTAATCGGGTTAGAGTGAAAAGGTAAAGGGAAGTTTTTCCCTATGGGAGGAGGACTTCGCGCAGTAGCCAAGAGCACAGACTCGGCCTCCTGGGTTTGATTCTCAGCACCCACAAGGAAGCTCTAGCCCCAGGGGAGTCAGTCCTAGCCTCCGTGGGCACCTACACTAAAACTAAATGTAAAGTTTCCTGCTGGTGAGCTGGTGCAGGCCCAGCTCTGCGATGGAGGCCAGGGGGCAGGAATTCCAGGTCAGCCTGGGCTACAGGACGCCCTATCCCAGAAAGAAGCCCTCTCAGTAAGTGCTTCCGTGTAAGATGGCCATTAGGCTGAGGTAAAGGGGCGCAGGAGCCCCGATTCTCCTCTGGTGAGGAGACCTGTGAGAAGGCTGAGCTTTTGTTGGGGGACAGAGCTGGGCCCCTACAATCTAAGCTATATCCTAGCCCAGGTTTATCGTCGGGATAGGATCTCACTATGGAGCCCAGGGTGGTCCGAGACTCCAGACCCTCTTCCTTCTGCCTCCCACAGACTGTGCCAGTCCACCTCGAATAAACCACCTAGAAAGGAATAAGCCCCCCAAAGGAATGGATGGCAGAGTACTACTTTGCAAAAAATATGAGAAACGTATGCCTCTTATTTTGGTAAAGAGATAGAGAATTAAGGCCACTACTCTGAAGAGGAAAGTGAGAAGCCAGAGTCTTTTATTTTGGTGAGGAGATGGAGGATTAGGGCTTCTATTCAATAAGACAGGGAAGGAAGGTTGAGGGATGCTTGCAAAAGCTTTGCACAAAGAAATGCTGATAGAGACTTTTATTTTGGTGGGAACACAAATTCTGTCTGTGCCCTCAGGTAACTGTGCCCTGTACCATCGTGGGGGCTGGTGGTACCATGCCTGCGCCCACTCCAACCTCAATGGTGTGTGGTATCATGGAGGTCACTACCGGAGCCGCTACCAGGACGGGGTCTACTGGGCCGAGTTCCGCGGCGGGGCATACTCTCTCAAGAAGGCTGTGATGCTAACCCGGCTTGTGCGGTGGTGACTGTCCCACGAGCACTCCCAAGGGTATTTCTGTCTCCTTGAGCTGGCATCTTATAGAGCAACGCAAAGTGTCCACACTGCGTCTGTCGTTCTGTGCCTGTCTGGCCAGGGTCACTCTCGGGACCTGCCATCCCCCTCGTCCTCCTCCTCCTCCTCCTTTAGGTCTTCCAGGATGAGATGGTCCAGGTCGTCCAGGAGGCCGCCTTGGCTCAGGCACGTGGCCACCGTGGAGCCGCTGCTGATGTGGGGGTTGCTGGGGTGCAGCACTCTGGGGAGGTGGTTCTGCTTACGGCTCTTGGGGTGGGCACAGGAAGTCCCAGGCACATGGGGCTCTAGGGGAAGGAGAGTTGCTGGGGTGTGAGGTTCTCGAGATAAGAGGGTCTGCGGCTCTGCAGGAACCCACTGGAGCCAAATGACAAAGAAGTCAGAGGTGTTGAAACTCTTTAGCAAGATGGGAACTTGTCTACAAAAACAGACTCACAGGTCGTGGGACCAGGGGCCTAACAGGCTGGAGCTGCTGGGACAATCCATGGGAGGAGTTGGGGGAGCAGTCAGCTCTGGGGAGCCATGCAGGAAGCAGCGTGAATACACAGGAGACGCAGAATGTCGGGCACACCCCAGGGCCTCACCTCTGCGATTGTAGCAATCCGCAGCTGAGCAGGAGTGGGTGTGCGTGCTGCGTCGATCCAGGTCGCGGTCCCAGCGTGGGGGCAGGATCCGAGTGGGGTACACGGGGAAGCCGCACCCGTAGCAGGGCGACGGGGACCCCATCTGTGCCCAGCCCCTGGGGGCCAGCAGGGCTGTGAGGGGCCGAGGGGGCAGCTGGGCCCCAGGGGACAGGAGGAGGGGACTAGGCAGGGGCTGGGCAGAGGGTGGGCTGGGGTGGGACAGGGCCCTCACCGGAAATTGTGACGACACTTTGGGCAGTGGAACTCGGCCAGGCCCCACATCTTGTCACCCGGCACTGGTTCGTAACGCTTCCGACACTTGCGACACCTTGACACCTGAGAGCAGGGTCAAGAGCTGTCAGGGCCAGTGTGTAGGACTGCGACAGGTCTCACATGGCCAGGCTAGCTGCAATGGCAGGCCTGCACCGGTACCTAGTGTGTGGTGCTGGGACGGAACCCAGGCCTTCATGAATGCTGTGCTATCGCCCTGCTAATGGCACCACAGCCCCATAATTAGTATTATCAGAAGCATACTAGTTATCGAGAGATTAGGAAGCCAAGCTGGGTGTGGTGGCGCACACCTTGAGCCTAGCATTTGGGCACAGGCAGGTGGATTCTGAATTCCAGGTCAGCCAGGACTACATGGAGAGACCCTGTCTAAAGAAAAAAAGAAAAGAGGTTAGGAAACCAGATTTGGGTTTGATTTCTGCCCCAGCTGTCAGAGTCAAGGGTTTGACTTCTCAAGTTCAAGGATGAATGGCTCCAGATGGATACTGAAGTTGCGCTTGCCTAGCATGCATGAAGCCCCTGGTTATGACCCGAACCAGGCCACATGAACCAGGTGTGGAGGCAGGAGGATCAGGAGTTCAGGGTCATCCTCAGCTATATACTGAGTCCAGCCTGGGCTACACGAGATCCTCTCAAAAACCAGAAGGGGCTGGGGAGATGGTTCAGTGGTTAAGGGCATTTGTTATTCCTGCGAGGACCCAGGCTCAGTTCTCAGCGCCCATGCGTCACTATGTTGTAGACATACACATGAGCAAAATACTAGTGTGCATAAAATAAATAACCCCCAAACTAAAAAACAAACACAAAAGGGTGGACAGACGGCTCAGTGGGAAAAGTGCCTGCTGTGCCCATGGGGCTGAGTTCAAATCCACAGCACCCATCTAAGAGACAGGCATGGCTAAATGCACCCAAACCCTAGTGCTGGGCAGTTGGGACAGGAGGCTTCCTGGGCACACTAGCCAACCCCTTAACTGAACTGGTGAGCCTCGGTGCAGTGAGAGACCCTGTCTCAAAAAAAACAAAAGAAACATACACACACACTCAGCTCAAGCGAATGCACACACACAATCAGCTGATGACCAGTCAGAAACATAATTTCTGGACACAGAGATCAGGAGTGGAACATAGGAATCAAGTAGGTCTGGGGAACCACCTCCTTCCTCTGGGGCACGCGGCGCCACCACACGTGGTCACAGGAGGAGCAGGCAAACTGTCGGTCCACGGCAGGGATGAGGTCGTCTTGGGCTCTTTGGAACATTCGAAGGTTGGCTTCTGTCAGGGGCAACAGAGAGGTGGCCACTGCCTGCAACATGGATGAATGGGGACAGAACAGGGTCAGCTGTGCCTGCGGAGTCCACAGTGACCATCCTCGTTGCTGTGCCTCTGATAGTTAGTTAGTTATCCACCCTGCCCGTCCCAGCCACCAACGCACCTGGATATCCCGGTCTTGCTTCATGTCCTCGGGGGGGTCCTGAAGGGAGACACGGAAAGGGAGTGCAGAAGCTGGAAAGGCTCTAGGGGTGCTGTACCCATGTTTAGTTGGGGAGAAGCCCCTGCCCGGGACTCCTGGACTGCAGACAGCAGAGATGGAACATTACTGCCTGTGTTGACAGCTTTCCAGCTCGCCACCAGGTGCAATGCACGAAGTCCCAAAGATCCTTAAGAAGTGAATGCTTGGCTATTCTCATTTCCCAGAATTGGAACCCACTCAATAATCATGGCCCATGGAACCCAGAGCCCTGGATGGCCTTTCAATCTGCAGAGGTCTCTGAAGCCACATAGCTTTAAAGATTTAAAAGTTTTAAAACGTGTACGTATGTGTCTCCCTGTGTACACACACATGTGCAGTGCCCACGGAGGCCAGAAGAGGGTGTCAGATACCCCCGGGACTGGAGTGGTTGTGAACTGTCCCATGTGGGTGCTGGGAATGGAATTAGGGTCCCCTGTGGGAGTAGCAAGTGCCCTTACCAGCTGAGCTATCTCTCAGCTCCTTGACTACATGGCTTTAAAAGGCTGCAGTTTGGGGCCTGAAACCAGCTGGCTGCTCTCCGCTCCCAAATGGGGATGACGGGCAAGTGCCTCTCTTTGTGGGTCCTCACAGAGCCCAAGCTTCATTACAAGTGGCTAGAATTTGAATCCCTGAAGCCAAATGCTGGTCCCCAGAACCTGGTGAAATGTCATGACCCTGAGCTTTCTTGTATAATAGGATTGCCTCCTGGGAGCAGGAGAAAGGGATATGAAATGAGCCCAGGCCTGGAGGTCTGCCCCTCACGTCCTCTCCATGACGACGACTTCCTTCTATTATTATTCACTTGCCATTTTGCTTATAGGCCTAAACCTAAAGACTATGCTTTGTCGGAATCTTTTAGGTGCCCAGCACGGTGGCGCACGCCTTTGATTCCCAGGGCTTAAGAGGCAGAAGGATCTCTGTGAGTTCAAGGTCAGCTTGGCCTGTAAAGTGAGTTTCAGGACAGTCCAGGGCTACATAGTGAGACCCTATCTCAAACAAAACAAAACAAAACGTTGGCATGCCTTTCAAGCAAATTCAACACACAGGGTACAGCCACAGAAGTGTTTCTATGACTTGAGCTGGTCTTTCATCCCTTCTCCTCCATCTTTCCTCCCCAGGCAGCCCGGCCTTTCTTCTAGTGCAAGGCAGAGTTCCCTTGAGCCGTCCTCGACAGCCAGGACCTCCTTATTGGACTGTCCTGTCTCCTCCATTTGAGGTAATCAGCTAATGAGCGCCTGTTTGCAGGCTGCTTGGCACAAGGAAGGAACCTGGATACCAAGGTGGGCTCTCACAGCAATGGTCTGTTCCTTCTGCCCGGGTTAAAAGGGATTCTTTTCCCTTTCTTTGAGGAGAGAGGGAGTTCAGGTTACCTGAGCGTCCAAATCGTTGCTCAGCTCCTGTCCATCTTTCTGCTTGACACCTAGTGGGGAAATATGGAAAGGGCTCTTGAAGGGTGTGTAGGAGGAGTTCCCGGTGGTGGAGAGCCTCCTGTCAAGGGAAGCCAGGGTGGCTAGAGCGACACGATTCTTAAACCACACCCACCCAGTACCCCCTGGGCTGACTCACCGTACACGATCGAGCGCCCTACTCCGGTGTGGTCGCTGCCAAACTTCCTCATAAGAGCCCCTGCCTTCTTGGGGGACACTTTTCCATGAAACTTCTCCCGGAGGCGCCTGACGCTCTTCTCCAACTGGGATGGAGGGGAGGTGAGCTCGGGTGTGGGGGGCCACGGGGGAGCAGCGCCGGCCCCTTCATTCTCCTGAACTTGACCCTGGCTTCTGGCCTCCGCGTCCCCATCCCCCCTCCCTTTGGGCCATTTCCTGGAAAAATCCAAAGTTCTCCAGGCACTGGGGGATGGTGGGGACTGCGGCGCGTCCCAGCCAGCGGGGAGCGAATTTGAGGTCTGGCGTGCGTCGTGTGAGCCGGGATGCAGGCCAGGTTACCCCTTTCCTTCTAACCTTTGACCCTGCAGCCCCGCCGTGGCCGGGATGGAGGAGGGAAGCGGCCCGGGGGTCGGGGTGTCCCCGGAGCCCTCCCCGCGCGGCCTGCCTCGGGCGGCGCGCCCGTCCTACCTCCACGCCGTCCTGAGCCATGGTGGCCGGTGCACACCTGGCCGCGCCCGGGTCCGGGTCCCGCAGGGCTGGGTGGCGCCGGCGCGGCTCCGCCTCCCTCGGGCCCCTCTTTCGGTTTCGTTTCTGCGGGAAGCTGGGGACCCTGCGGGGACCCCGCCCCGGCCGGGCGGCTGCGCGTCTGCTCGCGCGCCCCGCGGTGCTCCCGGGGCGGTGCTCCCGACCTCGGCGCGCGCCTCCCCGCGTCCTGCGCAGCAGCGCGGCCGGGCCGGGGATGCAGCGCGCGGCCTCTGCAGTCGGTCACATGTCCCCACGCTGCGCGGGGTCCGCGTCTTCACGTCCCCCGTGGGGGCGGGGCCGCACCGCGCGGACGCGGGTCTCGGTGCTCCCACGCTGCTCCTCCTACGCGGAACCCGAAGCTTTTTAGGACCCCGGGGGAGCTTTGCTCTACTCAGAGGCTCCCACCCCTGCAGGATCTCTTTCCCTAGCTCCCTCCAGTCTCAGTTTCCTCCTCTGTAAAATGGGCATGTAAACCAGG